AACTCAAATAACCTCCCATATATTTGGATACTAAATTAAAAATTTATTAAATAAAATATTTGTTAATAAGATACTTACCCAATAAAACGAGAATACTATCAAATTTTAATTATATTTAATTTTAGACAATTAGTTTTTAATATTTATCATTGTTTGGTTTGTGCCAAATTACAAATAAAAAAAAAATCAATTAAATTATTATTAATTTAATTAAAAATTTAATTATATACTCATAACTGATTGCTAAACTTAGGATTAAAACTAAATCCTTAACTCAAATATTTAAAACAAAATTTCAATATAAATTATACTAAAAATTTACCTTTACCTACTATTCCTGTCAAAATATCGGGAAGAGCTTTAAAATTAAAGCAGTCCACGTTGTGAACTGAAAAATCTCTTGCAGTTGTATCATCCATTAACTTCTCTATCTTTTCGGTTTTCGGATCATACAACATTAATTCAGCTCTCGCCCAAACACACAAGATCTTTCCATCTTTATCTATTTTAATCTGTTCCACTGTTGATTTTGAAAAAGAAAGAATATTTTTGCTCACATCTGGTACGATGACTCTAAATGCTTCAATCCACGAAGCATCTTCTTTCATCTTCCACACGGTGTACTCATACCCTTCCATAGAAAGAGTTAGATGAAGAGCACCATTAAATACTCCAATACAAGGAAAATAACCGTCATCATTAGGAAAAGGAATCTGCTTGTACTTTTCATCTTCCATATTTAGACGATAAATGACATCCCGACGGAGATCATTTTGTCCAACCCAATGCAGCCCTCCGTTCAAATAAACACCATGGCATCCATTAAAATAACAAGTCGGTGACTCAATAGGCGTCCATTCCGGCCGAGTCCCAAAGGCAAAAATCTCCGTTTTGTAGTTATCATGGATGATGGGGTTTCTACCATGTACAGTCCAGTTTCTTACTACTTTGTACTGCTTTGTTTTTGGACAAAATCCAAATCCATAGAAGCATGTAAAACAATTCCCTTTGAATTCATCTTTTGGTAATTCGAAGTACTCATTCGTCATCGGATTTAATATGACAACACTATTCGGGCTAAGCCAACTTTTTGTCTTTTTGGTGACTATAAAAGCCAAGATTCCATTGCACGAATTGATAGTTGAGATGAAAGAACGTTTAAAATACTTACGACGTAACTTGAATGAAGCAACACTTCTCACTCGTTCCACGTGATCGGGATCCAATTCCAAGCAATGGAGATTACGAAACCAAGGGCGATCATGTCTGTCCGAATAAACATGTGCAAGCAAAAAGTTGGAAGGAGTTGAGATTGAAGGGTCATGCTTCGAATTTAAGATCACGTTGTTCCATATTTTGCAAACTAGTCTGTAGCTCGGTAAACAATAGTAAGGGAGTTTGCTGAGTATTAACTCGATAACATCAGGTATGAGTTCGGGAATTTTGTTGCTAATAATGTCTTGATCCTTCGCCATCCTCGTTGACTAGAAAAAGCAATTTGATTGGACCGAACACAAACTACGATAAATTGAATTTAAGAAAATAATGGTGGTTACTAATGTTGAAGGTTGTGTATTTATAATTGTTGAAGGTTGGTGTATATAATTAAAAAAAAAATAATAATAATCTTTTCCTATTTTAAAAAACTAATATTTTTCCTATTTTGAATCGATTTGAGATGTTTTTTTTTTCATATTTACGAAATCAAATATATAAAAAAATAAAAATAAAATATTAAGGAAGATTAGTTTAGGAATTTTTAATTTGATTTTTTAATATTAAAAAAAATAAATCTGTTAAATTAAATTGAAATTTATTTTAATTCTGTAAAATTGGAGGTTTAGAATATAGTTTTTTTTTATTTAAAAATATATATTTATTAATCTTAACTCGGATTACACTATCGATCACTAACTCAGTTACAAACGTTAAATATTTTTAATTTATATAATTATATGATTTAATAAAATAATTTAATGCTATATTTGGCATTAAATTAAAATTTTAAAAATTTATTGAGCTGTTTTGATTTAAAAAGGTTAAAGAATAGTTTATTTAAATATTTGGTTTAAATAAAATATATGAAAATAAGAAACTTAAAAATCAAATAATATTTGCATGAGTTCAATTAAAATTTTACATTATTTTTGTATAAATATTTATAATATTTTTATTATACTATTTAGTTTTATACACTTTGTGTTTGTTATTTTATTTTTATTATATCAATTTATTAAAATAAATATATATATTTTTTTTTATTCCTTGTAATAGTTAAAATAGTAATTTTCTATGGTAATTAGTACTTAATTATAAATAGTTAAAATAGTATTAAAATAAATATATTAGAAATTATTAATATTTCGTTATAGTTTATCATATATATCATATTTGATCTTTTATTATAAATAAATATATAGATATTTGACTTTACGATATGCTTGAAATTTATTTGATTATAAATAGATAACTTTCACATCATCTACGTGGAGTGACTTAAGCAAACATTCTCAAACAAAACTGTACTAAGAAACATAGAATTATATACGTTATAGGCATATTTATTTAAACAACTCAAAGTCCCACAATTTGCATCTAACAATGTCACACGCCCCGTGCAACTCACCTATTTAAGGAGTCGATAGTATATGTATAAGGTTGGTGTCTTATTTAGGTAACACTATTAATTCAACAACTCTATATTATTACAAATGATTTGATTCAAATCTATCGGTCAATACGAACCGACCAAACCCAATTGAAAATAATAGATTCGATTCAGATTTCGGGTTCATTAGAAAAAATTTCATATTGGCGCGAAATCAAATATCATTTTTTTATTTCATAAACTTAGGGGTAAAAAAAATTATCTAAATATTTCATATTATTTTTAAACACTATAAACTAAAATATTTATTCATATATTTTATACTATTTTTAAACCCATTATTTATAATAAAAATTAATTTTTTATAGTCCAACACATAATTAATTTTAAGAATGATAAGGTCATTAATTATTAAAACTAATTGTTTTTTATGTTTTATAAAAAGAAAAAAATTTCCGAAAATATTTTTCCTGTTTGAATATCGATAACATTTAGTACAGATGTGAGAATTCTTGATTATTTTATGTGATATTTGACATTTAAAACATTAGACACATTTGTATGGCTAGAAAATTAGTTTCATTAGACATAGTTTTATCATTGTTATGATATAAGTATCTCCCAACTATATATATATATTTAGCCGGACAATGTTAAACTATGTTAAAATGTTAAAATTTCACTCGAAGAAGAATTTATTTTTTTAATGATTATAGATTGATTTGTGTTGAGTGGTTATAGATTGATTTGTGTTTGTTTGTAAACTTTGAATATCTTTTATCTAAGATAATCGATGAGTTATTAATTGTGGATAAATTAAAAAAAAATTAAATTAAATGTTTCTTTTAACAACCCGACCCATGTACACCCCTATTCAAATCATTCCCATAGAAACATGTGAATGGAGTATCTTATACCATGAGTTTATATAAGACTGGATCACGAAATATTTAATCTTTATTTGTAAGTCTGTTAATGGAGAAAATTAGTATTTCACATGATGATCATATGTGACTCGATTTGAATCCTAAGTGAGTTATGAACTACTGTTGTGAAGGCGTGTTCTTTGATTTGTATGGGTGAAAATGAATTTTGTAGCCAACTTAATATGTCTTATCACCCGGGGACTCTACCGAATAGGAAGTTGAGAATGTAATTATGTCTATCATTGGGGACTATCAAATAGGGAGTTGAGGATGTAATTTTAAGATATGAAATTCTAGACAATAAACAAAATTTTTATTAAAGAATACCTAGTACTTGAGGGGAAAATATAATTATCCTAGTAAAACGAACTTTTGACCCAGCTGTAATTATAAACAACTCATGAAGGATTACTTTGCTTATAAATTACATCATAGACACAATTTGGATTTATAGTAGAATGATCTAGAGTTAATAAATAAAAATTGATTAATTAAAGAGTTTAGTTAAGTAATTTGTATTATTTGAGCTTTTAACGGTAGGTCCATAAGGTCTCCTTGTTGTTGTGCGTCGAAAGCCGAACAAATGTACTTACAACACCAATCAACGGAATTACACAAAGAGACACCAAGATATTTACGTAGTTCGGAGAGAAGAAGTTCCCCTACATCCACGGGAAGCAACAATCACTAATAATCAAAGTGTTACAAGTGAATATCTCACTATCACAACAAACACTCTCACCAATATGTCACTTAAGAAATACAATATGACACACAAAATTCTCTCAAATTTTGATATCAAATTCCGATGTCAAATTTCGATATCAACAACCTTCTAGACACACCTTTTATACAGGGATGATTCATATAGAATATTAATAAAAAAAACCGTTCAATTCTAAATGAGGATTTATAACCAAAATAAATAAGATATTAATTAAAATAGTTATAAATTAAACCACCAAATTAATATTCTTATTCTATCAAAATGGTTATATTTTGAATGAATTTAATTATTAAATTAAATAAAAAAGTTTATAACAATTTACAACAATCTCTACCTTGTCATAAGATCTACAAGTTGATAATTGATTTGGTTGCTACCATGTCAACAAACTACCCCTTTCTTCCGATATTGATGAAATTCAAACAATGCCAAAACTTTTCACAAGCGATCACCTTTATCAACATATCAGTAGGGTTATCAGCCGTTGCAATTTTTAATAAACAAATGTCCCCTTCACTAATAATTTCTCAAATAAAGTGAAATCAGACATAAATACGTTTAGTACGAGCATTATGGACTTGGTTATTTGACAAACAAATAACACTTTGCGTATCACAAAACACATCTATATTTTCCTGCAAAATACTGCGGAAGATCCTGAGAAATGAAGTCATAGGCACGTAGGTTCAGGGCCAACCTTACCGGGGCTTGATATGCTGTGAATCCTCTTGAAAGAGAGGGGGTGCCTTCGGGAACGGGGACACAGGTGGTGCATGGTTGTCGTCAGCTCGTGCCGTAAGGTGTTGGGTTAAGTCCCGCAACGAGCGCAACCCTCGTGTTTAGTTGCCAACCGTTGAGGTTGGAACCCTGAGCCAAGTCATTAATCAAACCATGCATACAAATAGTTCTTTAAAAGCTTCTGTTACTGCCATATACTCTGCTAGTGGTAGACAATGCAACATTAGACAGCAATATTGAACGCCAACAAACAGGTTCACATAGTGAATAAATAACTTATGGTAGATCGTCACTTATCCAAATCACCAGCATAATAAGAATCCACATAACCAACTACAAGGTTTCAAGATCAAACATTTCTTGTTTTTGAAACTTAATACCAACATCAATAATACAAAAAATGTACCTAAGAATCCATTTGACAACCTACCAATGCTCTTTGCCAGGATTATGCATATAATGGCTCACCATGCTTACTGTGTGTGAAAGATCAGGTCGAGTACACACCATAGCATACATCAAAGCACCAACAACATTTGTATAAGGAATATTCTCCATATACCTTTTGTCATCATCAGAACTACACATAGAATCACTAAGCTTGAAATGAAGAGCAAGTGGAGTACCAACGGGCTTGGTTGAATTATTCAAACTAAATCTTGTCAATACCTTGCGTAAATATTGAGACTGAGTCAACCACACTATACATTTTTTTGGATATAGCTCTATCTCCATTCCAAGTATTTTCTTTGCATTGCCCAAGTCTTTCATTTTAAATGTTTTAGAAAGCTGATCTTTGAGCTTATCAATCTCCACCTGTCTCTTTAAAGTAATTAATATATCATCAACATATAAGAGCAAATAGATAAACGATCCATCATCAAGACACCGATAATACACACAATGATCAAATTGACTGAGTATACATATGCTCTATCATGAAATGATCAAACTTTTTATACCATTGGCGAGGAGATTGCTTCAGCCCATACAAAGATTTCTTCAATCTGCATACCAAATGTTGTTGTCCAACTACTCGAAAACCAACCGGTTGCGCCCTATATATTTCTTCTTCCAAATCTCCATGCAAAAAAGCAGTTTTTACATCGAGTTGTGCAAGCTCAAGATTAAATTGAGCAACCAAAGCCAACAAAATTCGAAATGGAAGAATGTTTTACCACATGTGAGAAAATTTCATTGTAATCAATACTTCTTTTTGTGCATACCCTTTAGCCACAAGTCAAGCCTTACAACGTATATTAGAAGAATCTTTTTTTTTTTTTTTTTTTTTTTTTTTTTTTTTTTTTTTTTTTTTTTTTTTTTTTTTTTTTACAATCAATTTCCTTCTTACCTTTTGTAAGTCTACCAAATCCCAAGTTTGATTTATTTGCAATGATTCTATCTCCTGATTCATAGCGTCTTGCCAGTGTAACCTATCCGGGCTTTGGATCGCATCTTTGTAGTTGTTGGGAACTCCATCAATTAAAGGGAAAGCATATGCTATCGTATCATTAAACCTTGCAGGTTTTCCAATTTCCCTTCGTGGTCTATTCCTGGCGATGGACTCAAGTTCCTACACCATTTTATTTACAAGTGCTTCCCGTGTTCTGAGACATTAGAGTTATTATCTACCTGATCAATACGTTCTTCAGTAGAAGCAACCATATCAGGAGAGAACACCACCTTCTCCACCTACTTCAATGCCTCGTCATTATTTTCAATTTTCTGCAAAAGCATTTTAGACTCATCGAATGTCACATCTCGACTATTAACAATTTTACTTGTTTCTGGGCACCATAACCTATAGCCCTTCACGCTTTTACTAAAGCCTATAAACTTGGCTTTTTTTGCTCTAGGATCCAACTTTGAGTCTGTCACATGATAATAAGCAGGACAACCAAACACATGCAATTTATCATAATCACTAACAGAAGTACCCGACCATACCTCAAGCAGAGTTTTCCCACCATTTCCAGACCCTTTTGAATGTAGCAGATAACAGCGGAGCCCCAGAAATAGGTAAACGATTCACCAAGTGAACTGCATAACTGAGAGCCTCAGCCCAAAATGTTTTACTCAATCCTGCTTGAGACAATATGCATCGAACCTTCTCTATTAATGTCTAGTTCATTCTCTCAGCAACACCATTTTGTTGTGGCTTACCAGGAACAGTGAAGTGTCGTACGATCCCATCTCAGCATACTTTATGGAATTAATCATAAGTATATTCTCCACCGTTGTCTGATCTCAACTTTTTATTTTTCCAGTCAGTCTGATTCTCTACCATTTTCTTCCACTCCAGGAAGATTTGGAGAACCTCGTTTTTGTGCCTCATGGGATACATCCAAACTCTCCTCGAGTAGTCATCAATAAAGGGTAGAATAAAACATTTATCGTCGTCCGTTCGTCCCTGACGGTGCTTTTATCCTTCTTGTCACAAAGTACCCGGTATTGTTTCGCTACCACCTAAGGCTCGTAAACGTCTGAAGTCTCGCGATGTTATCGATCCCCCACCTCAATCTTACTACTTCTCTCTCACGGTACAACAACGACTCCCCGTGTGGACTCAGGGAAATAATATGTTCTCTTAGCAACCCTCACCCAAAATCGCGAGATTTTCGGCGTTCCTTTTTTTTTTTAACGCGTATCGTTACACAAACTATCAATGACAAACTTTGGTCGCAAGACTTAATATTTTAGAAATAATAGGCCTATGCATATAATGTTCTATTAACCACTCCAATTTGCCTATCAATCTTAGGATGACATGGAGTTGAAAAGAACAACTTTATACCAATTTTACGATGTATAAGAGTGACTTACAAATTTAGCATCTCTGTCACTAACAATTATTCTATAGATTTCAAGTCATTTTACTCCTCCCCTAGAAAAATAACTCATCAACATGTTTTGTATCATACATTTTGTTGCATGCAATTCGTACCATCGATTTGGTTCTATTCTAAACTTATGAACATCTTGTTTTATCTTCAGCTCAAAGAAGTGTTTATGCAGTATATTATAAGTTTTATTAATCCTAAGATGTCCATTCAAGCACCACCACTCCTCTCAGAAGCAAATCTCTTATAAAATCTTTAGGAATACAAAACTAACTTTTCTCAAGTAAAAACTCATTAAACACATAATAATCATCCACAAGTCTTTTCGCAAGACAAAATGCATAAATAGTTATAAAGTCTTGGTCATCTCTATATAATTTTTTAATATGCTCAAATCTAATAATTTTTACACGTAGAGAAACAAAGAGATCGTACCTTTTAGATAACACATCAGCTACCATATTATCCTTACCTTGCTTATATTTGATGACATACGAAAATGTTTCAATAAATTTCACCCACTTTGCATGTTTACGATTAAGTTTGCTTTGACCCTTGAGATATTTCAAGCTTTCATAATCAAAGTGGATCACAAATTCTCTAGCCATAAGTAGTGTTGTCACCTCGTAATGTATGACCTTGCAAACAATTCTTTAGGTAGGATAGCCCAGTATTGCCTCCATTTAGTTTTTCTACATCAAATGGTTGGCCCAAATCACCCGGATCATGTTCAATTTCAAAAGTTCTATCAAAATTAGGCAAAACAAGCAAGGGTGTCTTGCTTAACTTGTTCCTAATGAAATTGGATGCATTCTCTTGCATATCCCTGCAAAAACAACCTTCTTTTTCATTAAATCATTCAATGGTGAAAGAAGAATCCTCCCTTCTGTTTACCTCGTTCAAGAATCAATAGGTTCAGGGGGAGAGTAAATGAATTAAATATGTTTTCCCTTGTTCAATGACCTCAAAAATAGGGAGAGGAGTGAAGGAGTTTCCCAAGTTTACTGTTCAAGAAGGAAAGGAAGTAGAGGAAAAGGAGCGAAATCTGTGTAATGAATCGAAACTTTCAACTTAATTTAAGGTTGCTACTGTATACATACCATAAACATTGAATGTGGAAGACGTCATTTAAAACACAGCCATGGACTTACGTGTTTTGAAAACATCTTTAAAACGACACAACACAAGACTCGAAATAAAATAAATAAGCGTTTAAGTTTAAAACATTCTATTCTAGCCTAAGTCTATGAAAATAAATACCACTATCCTATGCATGTGCCATGGTCTCGAGTTGCAATGTCGTCGTCAGCTGTACAGGAATGTCTTGCCTTAACCTGAAAAAATGTAATAGCACATGGCTTGAGTATTTAAAGAAATACTCAGTAAGTGACCCCACTATTGGGGTTTAATGCAATAATCACATGCAATGAAATGATGGACCTATATTTCGTTTTCCCTATGGTGCTGTCCTAATGGGTAATTTTGGAGTGTATCATATACTCTACACACAGCCCATACGTGCGAGTATGGGCTCACCAGCTAGTTCGCACACCGCTGGGCCACCTTTCTTATCCGGTGGGCATACTCTAGGAGCCCTTTAGGCCGGACACCCGCTAGAACTAGTAACCGTCACGACAACGCTATGCAAAGCATAACGATCGTTGTCCTGCCATTGGATGTACGCGTCCGTACCCTCGTGATGGGATAGGGGTATCCAGCCAAATGAATGAGCACACATAATGCATGAGGTCCCAAAACTTTTCCATTTTCATTATCCTTTAATACAATCCCGCTAGCATTATGTACATATCATATCATTTTTCATATCGTTTCAAATATCGTTCATCATTCATATCATATCGTTTCTCATTCTTCAATTCTCAAATCATACATAATTCCAACAGGGTTATATTTCATGCCACTTATCATAATTTCATGTCATTAATATCATGTTGTATACACACAATTTAAGAGACTTAACATAACATTCTATCGTTTTAACATAACATTTCATCATATACACATCATACCATGACATATTGCATCCGTAACGACCCTAAAATTTCACCTATTTCATCTAAGGTCGTTACTATACCTTGAAATGCGGAATATACATTAAATAGGCTCGGTTTATAAATGCGATTTACACTTGCCTTTTATTATCTCGTGAAAGAGAAAATGATTACAAAGGAAAGAAAGGAAAAGAACATTATTGAAATAAAGGAAAAGGAACAAAACCGAAACGAATGTCTTATACTACCCTATGGTTTATTATACAAATACAATTCAACC